GATGAGTTTGAGGCGAGCTTCCAGAAGCTTAAGACCACATTGACCACAGCCCAGTGTTAGTTTTGCCATCAGTTTCAGGCTCTTATACCGTATATTGTGATGCTTCTCGGATCGGCATTGGATGTGTTTTGATGTAGGAGGGTAGAGTGATTGCTTATGCTTCTCGTCAGTTGAAGCCCCATGAGAGGAGATACTCTGACCATGATTTGGAGTTGGCTGCCATTGTTCACGCGTTGAAGATTTGGAGGCATTATATCTATGGTGTGTCTTGTGAGGTATTTACCGATCATCATAGCCTACAACAATTGTTCAAACAGAAGGATCTCAATTTGAGGCAGTGGATATGGTTGGAGTTGCTAAAGGACTATGATATTATTATTTTGTACCATCGGGGAAAGGCCAATGTGGTGGCCGATGCCTTGAGTAGAAATGCAGTGAGTATCGGTAGTCTTGCATTTATTCTTGTTGGTGAGAAACCCCTTGCAGTTGATGTTTAGGCCTTAGCCAATCGGTTTGTGAGATTGGATATTTCGGAGCCCAGTTAGGTCCTAGCTTGTGTGATTTCTCGGTCTTCCTTGTTTGATCGTATCAGAGAGCGTGATGATCCTCATTTGCTTGTCCTCAAGGACAAGGTTCTGCATGATGATGCCAGAGATGTGACTATTGGTGATGATGTGGTATTAGAATGCAATGACGGATATGTGTGCCCAATGTAGATGGGCTTCGGGAGTTGATTCTTGAGGAGGCCCACAGCTCCTGGTATTCCATCCATCCGGTGCCGCGAAGATGTATCAGGATCTGAGATAGCACTACTGGTGGAGGAGAATGAAGAAGGATATAGTGGGGTTTGTAGCTCGGTGTCTCAATTGTCAGCAGGTGAAATATGAGCATCAGAGATCGGGTGGCTTGCTTCAGCAGATAGAGATTCTAGAGTGGAAGTGGGAGCGGATCACCATGGATTTCGTAGTTGGACTCCCACGGACTTTGAGGAAGTTCGATGCTATTTGGGTGATTGTGGATCGGCTGACCAAGTCGGTGCACTTCATTCCTGTGTGTACTACCTATTATTCAGATCGGTTGGCTGAGATTTATATCAGCGAGATTGTTCGCCTTCATGGAGTGCCAGTTTCCATCATTTCTGATAGAGGCACGCAATTTGCGTTGCGGTTTTGGAGAGCCGTGCAGCGAGAGTTGGGTACTCAAGTTGAGTTGAGCACCGCATTTCACCCTCAGACGGACATGCAATCCGAGCGCACTATTCAGATATTGGAGGACATGTTACGCGCTTATGTCATTGATTTTGGGGGTTCATAGGACCATTTTCTGCCACTCGTGGAGTTCGCTTACAACAACATTTATCAATCGAATATTCAGATGGCTCCGTATGAGGCTTTATATGGGAGGCGATGTAGATCTCCGGTGGGTTGGTTTGAGCCGGGTGAGGCTAGGCTTTTAGGTACATACTTGATTCAAGATGCATTGGAAAAGGTGAAAGTGATTCAGGAGCGGCTTCGCACAGCACAGTGAAGGCAAAAGAGTTATGCTGACAGAAAGGTTCGTGATGTGGCCTACATGGTTGGGAAGAAGGTCTTGCTGAAGGTTCACCCATGAAGGGTGTTATGAGGTTTGGGAAGAAAGGGAAGATGAGCCCTCGGTTTATTGGGCCGTTTGAGGTGCTTCGGAAGAGTGGGGAGGTGGCATGTGAGCTTGCTTTGCCACCCAGCTTATCGAGTGTGCATCCAGTATTTTATGTTTCTGTGCTCCGAAAGTATAACAGTGATACGTCTCATGTTTTGGATTTCAACGCGATTTAGTTAGATGGTGGTTTGGCTTATGATGTGGAGCTTGTGGCTATTTTGGAGTGGAGGTCTGAAAGTTGAGATCAAAGTATATAGCTTCAGTGAAAGTGCAGTGGAGAGGTCAGCCCGTAGAGGAGGCTACTTGGGAGACCGAGCGGGAGATGCAGAGCAAATATCCATACCTATTTGAGGCTTCAGGTATGTATTTATACTCGTTCGGGGACGAACGTTTGTTTGAGAGGGGGAGGATGTAACGACCCGGTCAGTCGTTTCGAGAGTTATAGCCCCGTTCCCCCATTTCCTTCTTCTTTTGTGTTCTTTAGCTGTATTTTGACTTACCGGGTTATTTGGTTCGGGTCCGGAGTAGGTTTGGAGTAAATTGAGACACTTAGTCTCTTTTGTGAAGGCTTAAGTTGGGAAAGTTGACCAGATATTGACTTATGGGTAAACGACCTCGGATTTGAATTTTATGGTTTCGTTAGCTCCGTTAGGTGATTTTGGACTTAGTTGAGGGTCCGAAACCTGATTTGGAGGTCTGTGGTAGAATTAGGCATGAATTTGAGAAAGTTGGAAGTTTGGCGATTTTGGTCGGCAGTGGAAAATTTGATATTGGGGTCGGAGTGGATTTTCAAAAGTTAGAGTAGGTTCGTGGTGTCATTTGTGACGTGTGTGTAAAATTTGAGGTCATTCGGATGTGATTTGATAGGTTCCAGCATCGGTTGTGGAATTCAGAAGTTTAAAGGTTTTTAGGCTTGAATCCGAGGGTGATTTGGTGTTTTGATGTTATTTTGAGTGATTCGAAGGTTCGACTAAGTTCGTATGGGGTTATACAACTTGTTGGCATATTTGGTTGAGGTCCCAGGGGCCTCGGGTGTGTTTCAGGTGGTTGACGGAACAAGTTTGGAATTGGAAAAAATGCTGAAGTTGAACTCAGCTGTCATAACCGCACCTACGGAGTGGGAGCCGCAGGTACAAGCCCGCAAAAGCGTAGAAGGAGCTGCAGATGCAACCATGGGGGAATTGAGCTGGAAACGCAAGTGCGAGATTTAAAGCGCACCTGCAAGATCGCAAATGCGGTATTGGAGCGTGGATGCGGAAAGACGCGTGAGGATGGCTGATCGCAGAAGCGGGCAAGGCCTGCAGGTGCGAGTTTTTTGATCGCATATGCGGATTTTGAGGGAGTAAGTGGTATCTGTACCTGCGATGGATTTTCTGCAGGTTCAGCGTTGCAGAAGCGTTAGTTTTACCGTAGATGCGGTTTTGATGGGCAGAACCTATAAATTGGGGACTTCGCGAATTTTGCTCATTTCCACCATTTTTGAAGACGGGTTTTGGAGCTTTTGGAGTGATTTTGAAGGGAAATTCAAGCGGTTTTCAGTAAGGTAAGTTGCTTGTGCTCTAGTACTCCTATCTATGGTGTTTTCCCATTGTTTTATCAATTAATTAGTGGAAATTAGGGGTGAAAATGAGGGGTTAGGGATTGGAATTTTGGAGAGTTTGATTTGAGGATTTGATGGGCCAAATGGAGTCGAATTTTGATAAATTTAGTATGTATGGACTCGTGAGTGAATGGGCTTTCAAATTTTGTAAATTTTGTCAGATTTCGAGACGTGGGGCCCAGGGGCCGGTTTGGACAAATTTCGGGTTCTTGGTCTAATTTAGTAGTTTTTCTTGTAGAGTTCATTCCTTTAGCATATATTGATGGTATTGTACTGGTTGTGAATAGATTCGGAGCATTTGGAGGCCGAATCGAGAGGCAAAGGCATCGCGGAGTAGGATTTGGCTCGGATTGAGGTAAGTAACGGTTATAAATCTGGTCTTGAGGGTATGAAACCCCAGATATTGTATTGTATGACTATTTTGGAGGTGACGCACATGCTAGGTGACGGGCGTGTGGGCGTGCACTATTGGGATTGTGACTTAGTCTGTCTCGTGAGACTGTGGAATCAATTAGCCTACTGATTAGATACATGTTCCGTCTATTTTCATGGAAATTGATTGTACTTCAAGTTAGAAATCATGTTTATGCCTTACGTTATCATTGTTGAGATCAGGGGTCGTGTACTTGCTAATTTAGCTGCTAATTGCTATTATGTACTGAATCATAGCTTTTCATGCTTATTATACCTCTGTCTCTTACTGCTCATTGTTGATACATAATACTATCTCTGTTTGGGCTTTTGTATATGGTTTCTGACAGAGCCCGAGAGACTAGTGAGGTTGGTGACTGATTGAGGTTGAGGGCCTGATTGTGAGATTGTTGATAATGTAGCACGTGAGTTGTCCGTGCAGCACATGAGCCGTCCGTGCGGACCCTGATATGATATTATAACACGTGAGTTATCCGTGCGGGTCTTGTTTTTAATATCATAGCACGTGAGTTGTCCATGGAGCACGTGAGTTGTCCGTGCGGATTATAGGGCTTGGGGTGAAGGAGCCCCTCCGGAGTCTGCACACCCTAGTGATCGCAGGTACCTATTGAGTATGATTATTGAGGGCTGAGAGCCGAGTGATTGAGCTATTTGAGATGAGCTGAGTAATTGTTGCCTTGAGAGGCTGTACTTGCTTTCAGTTAATTATGCACTTAGTTGTTATTTGTCCTTGTTGTACAAATTTCTGGAGAACTTGCTACCTGGTTTACTTGAGCACGAACTGATGTTATCTAAACTGAAGATTTTGAAAACATGATTGTTCTTACTTGAATGATATTGAGATAACCGTATTTGTATAGCTCGTCACTACTTTTCAGTTTCTTTTTTATTTCTGTTACTTACTGAGTTGGAAGTACTCACGTTACTCCCTACACCTTGTGTGTAGATCCAGGCGTATATGGGCACGGTAGCGGCTGTTGACTATTCCAGTTGCAGATTTTCTCGGATATAGCAAGGTAGGCCTGGCGATCGCAACCCTGCTCTTCTCCCTCTTATCTTCCTTTAGTTGTTTTAGTTATTTTCCAGACTATGTTTGTCTGGATGTTGTCAGACAAATTTGTAGTAGATGCTCATGACTAGTGATACCCCGATGCCGGGCTTTTCTTTTTCGCACTTTTGTTTTGATTTGAACTCCTTATGAAGGCTTTATATTAAATAGCTTTGAGATTATCTTTGAAATTAAAATATCGATTTATTTTGATAATGTGTCGGCTTGCCTAGTACCGTGATAGGCGCCATCACGACAAGGTTGGTGTTTTGGGTCGTGACATATAAATAAACCAATTTCCATTCATTGATCCTTACAATGTGATTACAAATCAAAATCATTATTTATCGATCAAACATATACACCAAAATTAGTTATCAAAAACTGAGAGGTTAACACCTAATTAGCATTAACTAGCTTCAATGGTTGGTGGAATTAGTTGTTAAATCACCAGGATTCAAAGGGTTGACACCTTTAACATTGCCAATAGGATCGTATGAGCAGACAATATAAACACCCTTTTGATCATTGCAATAAACAAAGCCACTGCATCCAACTTTCTTTGTAGTTTTCCAAACCACATTCAAGTAATGCCCACATTCACATCCTTCCTTTTCAGGTTGGCATTTGCAAACATTATTTACCTCATCGAAAAACTTCTTTTCTGAGAACCATTTTTGCACTACACCAGTTGGAGGTATCTCTTTGTATAGTTGCCAGAAGATGTTCTCTCCATATGGCCCGGTTGAATGTCGCCTGTAAATGTAAATTTATGAGCGTCAAATGCAGAGGCGAATTCAGGATTTAAATTTTATGGGTTCAAATTCAGAAATATCCCACATTCTATCTAATTTAATGTGTTTAAAATCTATTATTTATACATATTTAATGAATTTTTTGGTAGATATACAGGGTTTGAGACGAAACTATGAGTTCAGATGAATCTATAGCTTCTATTCTAGATACGTCTCTATTCCAGTGGCGTAACCACACTTGACCAAGGGTGGTCACTTGAACACCCTTGGTTGGAAAATTATACTGTATCTATAGATTAAATATTGTAATTAAGAGATGTAAATTAAAGTTTGAACACCTTTTAAAATGATCGAGATAAGTAGTTTAACGGTAAAGGGTATTCAATTTTCTACTGCAACCATAATAAAATTTATCAAGAATGACTTTATTAGTCGAATGAATGATGAATTTTTAGGAAAATGCATTGTGGAGATGCTAAAAAAATTGGTGCATTCATTCATCGGAAAAATATTATACGTATATATTAAAATTTGGATATCTTTTACAAAATTCCTGGCTCCACCACTGCTCTAGTCAAATGGATGGATAAGGCTAAATCTAGGTACCCGACTCAATATGGGATGGATTAAGAAGTGTGTTTAGTGCCTAGAATTTGCTTGTGTCAAGATGGGCGGATCAATTAAGCTAAACAATATAATGTGTTATAGTCCATCTTGTCCAACTCAAAATTATTTTTTCAATTGTTTATTTGTTTTTTATACTTTATTTAACTACGAAATTGAGCTAACAGAATTATTTTTTCTTTTACTTATCATTACTATATTTAACCAATCGAAATAACTTTTTTTATGTTTTGATAAATTTTATTTTGTGTCAATTTGTACTACTAAACTGTCCAAATTGACCCAAGTTATTGGATGAGCTGACTTGGATAATTATGCCTTAATTGACCCCGCCAATGAATACATGTTCTCTCCGGTCCGTCTAAACTTGAAAAGGTTGGACGAGTTATAATTTGATAGGCTAGGGGTAATTTGGTACGTGAACTAAATTATTTTAGAATTATAATTCCAAAATTTCCACTTTTCAAGTGGGATAAAAATAGTACCAAGTTTGATAGGATAAAATGGGATAAAATGTAATATTCAGGATTAAGTCTGGGACTAAGTTTATATCACGTTTGATTGACGGTATAATATCTTGGAATAAATTTATGCCGTCAACCACATATGATATAAATTTAATACCGCGTTTTATACCACCTTATCCCGTATACCAAACAACTCCTCATGATCGCCTCGTTGGCATGGGATTTGGGTTACAAGCATGTGGTCATTCATGAAACTGATTTTAAATATTGTTTGCTCAAGGGCTATATTTTTCGTAAAAATAGCACGAATTAACCAGTTTTTGGACTGGTAATTGAGAAATAGTCAGCGTTTGCAAAGTTATTAAAAAATAGCCATTGTTTTACTGAAACACGAAAAGTTTCAACATAATATGTTGGATTATGGAGCTCCTGCGTATAAACTTCCAGCATACTATGTTGGAACTCCAGTACACGGAAAGTTCCAACATAATATGCGGTATTATGGAGCTCGCATATAAACTTGTAGCCAGCGGCGGATGCATGTTATAGATTATGGGTGCTTAAGCACCCATTACTTTTGGAGCCATACACTATTATTTATATAGAAAAATTAGTAATTCATTCAAATATATTACTTGAGCACCCAGTCTCAAATGTAATTTTCAGATAAAAAATAATTAAGCACCCATGATTTAAAAATCCTGGATCCGCCACTGCTTGTAACATATTATGATGGAACTCCAACACATTATAAAAATTCCAGCATATTATGCTGGAATATTTTCGGATTTTTAAGAGTATTTTTGTTCAGATTTTATTTTTACATGAAAAGTGGCTAAATTTCAATTATAGCTATTTTTCAATTAACAGTTATAAATATGGTAATTTCTATTTTTACCCATATTTTTCTTACCTGTAATTACAATCATGCTTACGCTGAGTAGCCCAATCAAGTGCAAAAGAGGCTAAATTAGCATCCCATTGCAAAGGAGGAACACCAACACTGCTTCTTAAATCATTGTGAGCCTTAAGGAATTCTTGTTGAACCCAATCAAAAGATATTGGTGCTAAAAGGATTTGAGCCTTTGACATTGACATTGACATTGACATTGACATTTGCATTTCATAATGACTTTTGACAATGACAATGGCAATAGCAATATTGGAAATGGTTCTCTTTCTCGTCCTAGAAATCTTGTTTTTGTTTGATTTAAATGTATGGAGAGTAGCGTGAAGAAAGGAGCAAAGATGGTAGAGGTGAGAATTCGGTTAATATAGTTTCTAAAGTAATGGCCTCTATAATATTCATGAATATTATGAAAATTATCATAAGGCATCACCATTTAATATTCGTCATTGATGGTTAATATTAAACAATTAACTTATAAATAATTTACAAAATTTAAAAAAAATTATCTTTTTGTAAGTAATAGTCAATGGATAAGATAAGGAAAAAATTTACCCGCACCGGGTGTATACACCCGGCCATTAAACAATCAACACATGTCACTTTATTTAATTAGAATTATTAGTATTTAATTATAGTTAACTAGTTTTGAGATATATTAAATATAATAATATTCTACTAAAATACTTAATATTTTTACATCTCCGTTATGCTAACAGTAACGATGGTACATTTTTGTTTTTGTGTCACCAAGGCCATCATCGACCATTACGCCATTACCAACATAATCTTTTTCCCTTCTACTTGTTGTAAGTATAATTAGTTGTACAAACATATATTTGCTTTTATCTGGAAAAGAAATTTTTACTTTTGTTTTAATATCGTAGCTATATTTGTAATTTTTTAGTACTGCGTAGTTACAACTAATAATAAATGCTTACCTAAAAACTTGTCTCTCATAATATAAACTCATACTTGAGTTCATGGCAAAATACTTTGCATTACTTTTCAGTAACTATCATTGTAAAGGTAAATTCAATTTAAATCGAGCAAAGCACCATCATGCTTTATGAAAGATTCTTGCCATTTAAGAGTAGGATATATAAAAGCTTAAATAAAATTTCTTTATGTTATGGCTCTTAATCTGGATTAGTAGGCTATTGTTTCGGAATACTCAAAGAACGAAGAAAGAAGGACTCTTAGACCTTACTCCTTTTACGTTGTTATTTCTTTCTTTTTAATTTTTTTATTTATTTAAAATAAGGCTGTTAGATCTTAGTTGTCTTCTATGGTTAGCTTAATTATATTGGGTATAAACACCCGGTGCGGATAAATTCAACTAGATACAAACTTGTTGAAGGAGCTTTGCATCTCCACATCCAGCCTACATGCGGTGCTTTGTGACAACAACATTGGTGCACGTACCTAAGTCGAAGTCCAATATTTCATAGTCGGATGAAACATGTGCCCGTTAATCGTTATCTATGCATAAAATTATTTACAATCATTATATTCTCATAATTAATATCTAACTCTTTCTCGAGATCAAATGGAATGCAATGAGCTCTTCATTAACCTTATTTCCACTGGTGATCAACTCCGATGCCTATCATAATCGGTCATTTATTAACAAGATTGGTCTCAAGGATATTAAACCCATCTTAAGGAGGCATGATAATGATAGGCAATCATAGTCTATCTAAATTTCCCATTTTTCAATTTTATAATGTGATCTTATCATATTTTTGGAACACTCCTTTGTATAGCAACACTTTCCACTACCTATATAAACACCTCACATGTATTCGATGTATATAACGCAAGCTTTTACAATTTAATTCCAACTCTTACACTATCTTACTCATCCGCCTCATATGCCTATCTCACCCACAAAAAGAAATTCAAATGTAACAAGGTCAAATATGAAGAAAAATTACTCACATTCAATAATTAGACAAAATCAATAGTGAATAATTATATGCGTAAGTGCTTAAGCATTGATTTTTATCACTCTGTAATTGGTTAATTTATACTATTTTATTTCATTTATTAGTTTATGATAGATTAATACTATATTTAGGGTAAACACTAGGGGTATATTTGGTACGAAGGAAAATATTTTCCACCAAAAATTATTTTTCTGAAATTACTTTTCTTGGAAAATAAGTGGTCGTCTTACTTATTTTCTAGTGTTTAGTTAGTTAGCAGAAAATATTTTTTGAAAAATATATAATCTAGGCAAACATTAAGGGAAATGAAATCAGAGAGGGAGAGGGAGGAGAACAACGAGAGGGGTAAGGACGGGGAGGAAGGGGCTCGAGGGAGGAGTGGCGGTGATCCAGGGGGGGGGGGGGGTAATTTACCGCGACAAGGGTTGGAGGGTGGGCGGAGGGTGTCGTGTTAGGGTGGGTCGGGATGAGGTCGAAGTGCAAGGTAGTAGGTTAGAGTATGAGAGCGGGGATGGATGAGAGTTTCGATTAGGGGTAGTTAGATTTGAAAGAAAGTTTCGAGAAATATTTTTCACTCCTCTTTATAGAAATCATACAAAAAAATGTTTTTCAAAATATTAACAAACTAAACATAAGAAAATTCAATTCATATCAAATTGTGATGACCCGGTCGGTCATTTTGAGTTTTAGTCTTTATTTACGTGTTCCGAGACCTTGACTAGCTCCGTTTAGTGTTCCTCAATTTGCATGCACAGTCTGTGTCTTGTTCCGGAAAGTTTTTATATGAAAAATTAAAGAAAATATAAAATTTTCCCTTAAAACTGATTTGAGTTAACTACGGTTAATGTTTTGTATAAACGGAACCGGATCAGTATTTTGATGGTCCCGGTGGGTCCGTCTCGTGATTTGGGACTTGGGCGTATGCCCGGAATCGAATTCGGAAGTCTCTAACTTAATTTAACGTAATTTGTTGAAAACTAGTAATTTGAAGGCTTAAGAATTCCTAAGTTTGACCGCAGGCTGACTTTGTTGCTACCGGGTTTGGATTTAGGTTCCATAACTTGAAAAAGATTCATTTAACTATTTATGACTTGTATACAAAATTTGGTGCAAAACGGAGTTGATTTGACGTGATTCGGACGTCCGGTTGTAAATTTGTAAGTGCTTGAGTTTCTTTAAAAATTTCATACATTTTGATGTCCGATTCATAGTACTAGGTGAAATTTTGGTATTTTGATCGCTCGAGCGAGTTCATATAATATTTTTGGACTTGTGTGCATGTTTGGTTTGGAGCCCAATATCACGACTCAAACTGGAGGGCCATGATTGGCACCCGGGCCATACCTGTCGGGCACCAATGTACATTTTATCTAACATTTCTTTATTATCTATAAGGGCTAACGAGATCAACATAAATGGTAGACATGAATCATGAACAATCAACGATGACACATAGTGACATGAACATACATAACATGGGCCGACAAGGCTGTCATGAAGCTAACAAGCTGCCATGAGAGACTATACAACAAAAATCAGCCGACAAAACTATCCAAACTATACATGAGTCGAAACCTGTCTATGAGTCTCTAAAAGAACATAAGCGCTGCAACATAGCCGTAACACGGCTCCGACATACCCATAATATCCATAACAAAAATGCATACCAAGATCACGGCAAGTGCGGAGAAAGGATCTCGCCAATAACCGTTGAATTGGGCAGCATACTGTAGTGGGGGAGCTTCGTCTACCTGTCTATCAGGACCTGCAACACGACATGCAACATCCACAAATAAAAGGGACGTCAGTATGAATAAAGTACTGAGTATGTAAGGCAGGAAAGCATAAATATGAACAGTAATGTAAATAGGGATAGAGAATATACAACCTGTAACATCTGAGTGCCTGTGAGGGAGACTGACATGAAATGCATGATATATATATATATATATATATATATATATATATATATATACTGTGGGCATGATCATCATATCGTTCCCGGCCGTAATAGGCTTAGAAAAAATGTACACGGCCATCATAAGGCTTGATAGAATCGTACACGGCCATATGGAGCTCGGTAAAACCCAACTGATCAGTGTTTGCACAATAGGTGCCTTACCTGGCCGACTATAGTGCGGATCGGTTGAGTATAATAGGTACATATATATAATGCATGCGAGACTCATTGGAATCACATTCTGAACCTTAAAGTGATGTAAGGTCGGTATCCTTCGTACACGTTATTAGGACTAACTCTTCATCATGAATCTTATAAGAATCAGGAAGTACCGACAACATGAATAACATAAGAATAAGAGAAGCAACATCAACATCAATTGTTCCATAAGAAGGGAAACAATGTAAGTACTGCTAGCTTCTAAGAGTGGAGTATCTTTGGAAGCTCGTTCGTTACACTATGTACTATTAGAGTCGTGCAAAAGAAGGAAAGTGATAGCCTCACATACCTTGTATATGCTTTCCAACCTCAAGCTATGCAAATCTCACGTCTCCTTAGTCTACAATAAGAGAAATGATACTATCGTTATCATTTAAGCGTCCTAACTAGTATATATCAACCACAACCTATCTTACAATGAAACGGATAGCACCTGCCTTACTTATATGACTTCCCACAAGATAAAACAATCATCAAACAACCCAAAAACAACAATCATAACCAACAATAGCAACAACAACAATATAATCCAATATGAGCTTCTCCGATTATCTTCACAATCATATTGAGCGGCAAGCTCGTTTTTACTAATAACAAAATATAAATTGAATTCAACTCTTATTTCCAAAATTAGTGTACAACCTTCAGAACATCATACTTATATGTATTATATGATTCCTGGTTCAAAACATTCACAAAATGCCTTCCAAAACAGCCTCATACGCCTAACACCTTAACTTTTATCGTCAATCACTTATTTTTCATGTTTCTTATTTAATCAACTTAATTAACACCTAGAAAATATTAACAACAGAAGCCAAAACATTATCAAATTATTTCTTATAATTTCTAGCTACCACAAATCATATATTTAGCCATAAAACTGTCCAATCAAAAAGATAACCATATCCCATATTCTTTCAAGTCCTATCTTATGGTTTTTCACTCAAGCAACACAACCAACACAAGATTAACCTTAGGCACAGTCAAGAAGATGTTATACATACCTTGGACAACATCTACAACTTGAAACTCCATCTCAACTTAGCTCAAAATAGCCCTCAATCACTCCATAACATCATAGAATCATTCTCATGTAGTCTTTAACGCTTTTGATGATGATTTGAGTTGATTTCTCTTGAGTTTTGTTCTTGGGATCT